TAATAGTTTTAAACAGTATAAAATATTTATCCTTAAAAGCGTATGCCATTAAAGGTGCTGCTTTAAGACCAAAGCATCTGCTTGGGGGTTCTTAATAAGACACAATTGAAACACCACCAATTTTAATATAATTCTGCAAAATAAACACTACTAGTAAAATCTTCTGAATTTTTATGTAGCCTTAATAGAATGAAGTAATACATGACAGGGACTAGATCTCTTTTAGGCCAATATACCTTTTTATAAGCTCCTCTAACTATTAATACTCAGTTTCTGTAATAGGTGAATTTTTAAAAAAGACATTTATATTTATTTATGATGCTTAACATTACAGGTTCTAAAAATGGAACACAAAAGGAATATGAAAATAAGTCTATGTTAAAGATATATAAGAAGGGGCCAGTGAATTCACATTTCATTGTCTTTATCCAAAGAGAAAATTACTGAATAGAACAGCAAACCAAGACGATGTTTGTAAAAGGCAATGTATACACTTAGCATTGTAGCTTATTTGATGGATTTTTTTAAATATAAAAAAGCGTGTTCTTTGGCTGTTTGAATTGTCTTGTTGTCTGGGACCTTGTAGATACATTGCCAATCAACTTTTAGCTTAAATGAGCTTTCATTAAGAGTATTAGTCCTGCAGAATCCCCCAACTCATCTGAGCTCGTTAGTGATGGAGCAAAGACATGATGTTCTACTTTTCTTTTCTGCATGTTTAGGGAGCATCTTTTAGCTAGCTTCCTCTCCGTGCCACCAACCACTGCAAAATGTTATTCCTAAAGATATAACACATCCATCATGCCAGTTTGACGTAAAATTCCAGCTAAACCCAGTTAATACTGTTGCCTAAATATTAATTTTCAGCTTACTTGTTGCCATTCTTTCATTTCATGGTTTATTTATCCTATGGTTTTAGAAAAACCCAAGGATGTAACTCCTGAAACATTTCATAGTTTCCTGTTTGCTTACCCACATTTTATTTCTATCCTCAAAACTAGAGGAATAGAACATTCCTGATAAGAGATGTGGCTTAGGTTGATCAATACCTGCCATCTCCCTCACCTCCAGAAGAGTGTGGTACCATCATGCCTAGAACGTATACTATATGATGTTGTGAATTTCCATGACTATTTATTTTCATGGTGTCTCCTAGGTGGTGAGGTTAGAAATCTTGTTCTGCTCTTCTCGAATCTATGGAGCATTTCAAAAATAGATATTGCGAGAAATGCCTGGTAGTCTAGGACAGTGACTGAGAATTTAAGCTTTACTACTTAACTAGCTCTGTGTCCTAGGACAATCACTCACTGTTTTAGACTCTCAATTTCTTTATTTGTGCAATAAAATCGTTTCTTCACTGCTCACCTGAAGGAATTGGTGTGAGGCTCAAAATGATTGAAATGCGTGAAAGGATTTTCTACATTTTTCTCCATATATCAAACATTATTATTAGGGTCCTTAACCCAGGAATTCTGTAGTTCTGCAGGTGAACTTTTAACAAGACAAGTTTGTGTTTTCTTGGGGAGACTATTCCTGACTCTGATAATATTCGAAAACTGACCTTTTGGGATCTGCCTGCAGTTCCTTATATAGTTGTGTTATGGTTCTTAAATGTGTTTCTATCAAAAATTGCAACCCATGAGATCTTATTCTATATGGACTGATCTAAAAACCTGTTTTTAAAAATGATCTGCTTTTAAAATGACCCAATATCAGAAGTATAATGACATAGTTGTACACCTTTCTTTATTATCTTAGAATTCAGAGGAAGCACAGATCAGGACTTCTGGTAGCCCAGAGTAACGTTAAATTTTTTTTGGTGTAACGTAATCTCGAATTCACCCAGTCAGGATGTGGTAAAATCTGATTTTCTGTTTCATATGCATAGGGTTTTTTCTGTGGCAGCTGCCACCAACCGGATTGGTTTAGATGCCCATTAATCAAATCAAATCAAAATGACAGCGTGCACACTCTGAAAGCTCCAGTTTGTAGCACCTAGAGGGAGGTCACTAGGCAGCAAACACCAACCCTGTTTTGCTTTGAGAATGGCAATCAACTTGTGAGGAGCTGCCATTGGTGAGTGGAAATATCTATGATGGTTGAAAGAATGGGCTCTGATGTTACTCAGGTATGGGCTCGTATGTGTTCTTTGCTTTTTACAAGTTATATAACTTCTAAGCCTCGATTTTTTTGCATCAGTAAAGTGAATATACAAATACTTACATAACTATTAACTTATTTAATCCACACACACAGATAAAGACTATTATTGGCCTGGGTTGACAGTGGAGATTCAGAAAAGTTAAGTAAATTGTTTAAGGGAAAAGGCACAATCGGGTTTTGAACGCAGACACTTTGACTGCAGAAACAGAGTTTTTAGCCACTGCATTATACCACTGATGCCTTCCTGCCCAGTGATACTGTCAAGGACTTAATATTTTAGTGAAGTTAGCGGCAATGTTTTGAACAGTGTAGGAAAGACATTATATTACACTCCTGTGGCTCATCATAGGTACCTAGATTCAACGCTCATAGAATGGGTTTGTGTCCACTAGGTGGCATTGCTGTTTTAACGAAATGTGAACCAAGCCACTGTTTAGGCTTAGGGGTCTGCTAAATTTGAGAGGACTGGCAGGACAGTCTATTTGCATCCCTAAATGTCTGATCGAAAAATCCTCCAAAATTTGGAACATAATTAGTGATACCTAAAGACTAATGGTATCTTGAAATAATTGAGAAAAATATACATGACTTTATTTTACATGTCAATGTCTGTGCAGAATATCTGGATAAATGTTGAGATTCTCTAGTCTAGTTCTATCAGTTCATAGAATAGACTCAGGGTCAGAGGGAACAAATGACTTGTTCAGGGCAATCCAGACATGATGGTTTGGCTGTAGTTCTCTTTCCATAATATTTCCTGTGGTTGCTAAGTCATAAAAAAGCTGTGATTTATGAGTTCTTAGAAGACTCCCCTTTTGAATAAAGGGCAGAAGATTGCTCCACTATTGTGAGTTTTTGTTTCATAAGGAGTCAAACAGATGTTCCAAATTAATAGTCGACTCAGGAACTTAGACATTAACTTGTATAAATGCAAAGAAAGGTGCTTTTTCCCTCTTGAAAAGATTGAGTGGCTCTGGTTTAAATGACTGTCCCTATTAGTTGACAATGCAGTTTATGAATTGAGACCCGTGGCAGGTAGCAGGTTAACAGAGGAGTGGAGGGACTCCGGAATCAGACTGTCTGAGGTGAACCCTGGCTCTGTCATTCGGTAACTATAGGAATCTGGGAAGCCATGAGATATCTCTACACCTCTGTTTCAGCAACTGTATAACAGAAATACTATTGTAATTTGTCTTTTAAGATGTTCGTGAAAAGTAAATGTGTGAAGAGCCCATGACAGAGTAAAAACAAGGTTAGGGATGACAGTAATAATTGGCTATTTTTTGTTCTTATAGTTGATGTTTAGTTTTTGTTAATGTCTGTCAGCTGTGAAAGTCATTACAGGTGCTTTGTCAACAATGTTACTCACTGTCACATGCTGAATTGCAAAAAGGAAGAAATGACACTTCAGGTTTATAACTGTAACATCGCTTCTTCCTCAACCAGATGGTACAAATAGCCAAGAATATGGCCATGTATTTCGTTATGTGTTCACAGCAGCTTAATTTAAAACACTTGTAGGCTTTAGGCTCCTATTTGCAGGTTAGACAGAGCAGGTGACTGAACGCCTGGCATAAAATAATAACAGCTAAGCATTATTGAGTACTTCCTGAGCGCCAGACATTGCTATGTTTTACACGTATCAACTCATTTAAGCTTTACAACGTCCCTGTGAGCTACAGACTAATGCTTTCCCCCTTGTAAAGATGAAGGAACTGGGATTGAGAAACTTGCTCCAGCTTAAATAATAAGCCAAAGAGCCAGGATTTAAACTCAGGTAGTGCGGTTCTTAATCACTCTGCTCTGCCACCTTTTGTGGTAAAATGTAAAGAGCCCTCAAAGGTTCCTGAGCTCTAGCCTGCTTCCTCCAGTACATTAAATATTGCAGTGAAGCCTGGGATCACCACTGTTTGCTTGGCTCTTCTAGCTACTGTTAACATGCCACCCTGTTACCCAGGAGAGCAATGTGTTAAACCTACTTCAATATTTTTAAGGCAGTTAGTTGATGAGATTAACTGGTTAAACATTTAATAGACTCCTGAGTTTGATAGAGTAAAACAAAGCTGCAGTGGGTCAGAAGAGAGCTTGCCTAAGACAGGGCACTCTTGATCACTCCTCAGGAATCGAAGGAAAGAGGATCAGCTTGCAGATGCGATCATGCCAATGACTAGCTTATTTGTTGCTCTTGTGTTCTGTAACATTCCAGACTACACTCTTTTCATTGCTGTAATTCAGAATCCCATATGGAATTCTTGAATTCAGATTTACAAGAGCCTTGGCGGTCTTCTGGTCTATCGCCCTGACTTCACCAAGAAGGAAGCTGAGATACTGCTTGCTTAAAGTTTGTCCCCATTTATCTTAGAGGAAGAGTTGGGCCCCTGTTCATTTGGTTATTCCACACTGTTTCTCTATCTTTCAGCAATTTCACTTTGAATAGCATCAACTTTGAATACATGCCGAAATTTCCCTGTTTATACCAATAACATTTTTCCTTCAGTGAGAACCCAAATTCAACAGATAGCATCTGTTCTTTACAGATAGCATCTTTCTATTTATAATTTCTTCTTTCTTCCTTTGCTTGAAATCAACTTTTATGGGGCGGGGAAAAATGACATTTATTAGAATATATTTAAAAATCAATTTGTTTTCTCATTAGAAGCTGTGAATCCAAGTAATTCAATTTAGATCTAAGAAAATAACCATACTAAATAGGACCAAAGTAAATTCAAAGCAGCAGAATCGCAAAAACAAAACAAAACAAAACAAAACAAAACAAAAAAAAAAAAAAAAAAAAAACCAACAAAAAAAACAAACACTGGGAGGAGACTTCCACTTACCGATTTCAGTCATGGTTATCCCTGGTGCTAACTGCCCATTGTTGAAAGAGCTATAGGTAAACAAGTTGGGTACGGATGTGAGGTCATAGATAGGTTCTTGCTTTATCTGTTTGATTCCAGTCATGTCAAGTCCTGACTGATCAGGGGACGGCTGACTAGAATCAACGTTGTAATAACCCTCAGATTTGGGCAGGTCAATGACGTGCCCGTTGGCATAAGTGCTGCTGGTCTCGTTGTTCAGGTTGCTCAGGCCATTGCTGATGCTGCTGCTGTACACCCTGGCAAGGGCTTCCGCCTCCCCACTCTGCTGCTGCCGCTGTTCCTGCAGCCGCTGCTGGTGCTTCTGCACCTCAGCATACAGGCTGTCCCTTTGCTTCTTGGACATCCTCCCAAACTTCACAGCTGGTTTGGAGAGAAAAGCAGAAAACAGCACTGTGGTTATCATTTGCGTTAACCACCTCGGGTACGATGGGCCACGAGATGGTCGGCCCTTCAACATCAAACACACAAATGTCTGGCACCATAACTTCAGAACCCATTCATTTGGACTCCACATTTGGGGAAAGGTTATATTCAGAGGGTACCTATTCTGGTTTATGCTCACAGTGAGAAATAAATCTAAGCCAGGAAGGAATATAAAAACTTATGTATGCATTTCTCATTGCCATGAAGTTAGAAAGCATATTTTCCTCTTTTTTCTTATGTGTGAAAAAAATGCAAAAAACCAAAATACCAAATTACTGATAGTACTTGCTATAAAAAAGTTAACCAACACTCAAAACTAACTTTTCCCTTAATCATTAGGATTACTAGATTACCAGGTTGGACCCTAGTATTTCACTTTCAGACTTATTTTCTGTTTTCTTTCTTAAATTTCTTTTTAATTTTTACAATATCTTTCTTTAAGAGATAGGATCTTGCTCTGTTGTCCAGGCTGGAGTGCAATGGCATGATCATAGCTCACTGAAATCTCAGGTTCCTGGGCTCAATTAACCCTCCCGCCTCAGTCTCCTGAGTAGTTAGGACTACAGGTACATGTCACCAGGTCCACCTAACTTTTTTTATTTTTGTAGAGATGGGGCCTTGCTATATTGCCCAGTCTAGTCTTGAACTCCTGGCCTCGAGCACGCCTCCCGTCTCGTCCTCCCAAAGTGCTGGGATTACAGATATGAGCCACTGAACCCAGCCAGGTCAATTTTCTAAATACTGTGTTGGGTTAAGACCAAAGACATAGGGCTGGGTGATAAACATAATTTTAAGCAATGGCATCATTTGTCTTCAGTTGGCTTTTGGGATCAAATGATAAGAATCTTTGGAAAACAGCAATTTAGGGCATCCAATGCTGAGCAATGAGCAGAACAGTAACTATCTTTTCTTGTTCTACCACTCCCAAGCTTTATTTTTCCCATCTCTTCTGGCAATATTCTCAGGCAGTCTGAGGAAGAAGAAGGAAGTGCTGCAAGTAGTCACAGAGTAATATAAAGGTACTTTCATTTCAATGTGTTGTTTCTTAAGATACTGAACCTCCTGAACTGTTGTGAATATTGACATTTTTCCTCACACGTCATCAACTGCCTTTTTAGGATGTGAACATCCTGAGTCACTGGCCTACCTTGTTGGAATTATCAAGCATTGTTCAGCTCATGTTAATGCCGGGGACAATGACAAACTTGGAGGCTCCTCTCTGAGTTTCTGTTTTCTGTTCTTTTGTGACTGTATTCCTACCACCTCTTGGTGTTAGGAGCTCAGAGAATGGAAAAGGAAGGAAATGGAGTTTAGAAAAAGGCTCAGTTCCTGGTTTCAGTCATCTCTTCTGAGAACATCATCTAAATGGTGACGTGCTTAAGAACTCTCTAGCACAAAGGGAACACAGAAGAAGTTCCCTCAGTGAAATAGCTGCCATTCACCCTGCTCCTCAAATATTCCTCCAAAATTCATTTTCTTCTTCCATTGGGTACAGAGCTACCATACTTATCTGGGCATAGGCTGATCAGAATGGAAACCATACCTCCCAGCCCCCATCACTGGCGGGTGTGTAGGTGATTAAGTTCTGATTAATGGGAAGTAAATGGAAGTGTTGCGTTCACTCCCAGGTATTGGGGCATGTTTTCCTCCTTGCCTGCTAGATTGTGGATGTGAGGGCTGGGCTTGAAGAAAACAAACCCTTTCTGTATCTTCTTAATCCTTCTTAAAAATCTACATTCTGGCTTTCTGATGCTGCCTTAGTAGGTAAACAAAGTGATAATTAGTAATTTTTTCTGTGTGAAGAAGACAAACAATCTGACTCATTCAGACTAACCTTCCCTTTCCATCTTAGTGGTTGCTTTTGTATGGTCTTGAATTATTTAGATTGTTGTCTTTAACTTTGTTTGTAGAGACACTACCTTTCTTAGATTTTGATTCTCAGAGACAAATTTATTTGCTTACTAATTGCAGCGACATTGCCAGTTTGTCTGTGTACCAAATTCTACAGTAACTTGTAGAGCAAGCTTCCTCTGTATCTTTATATTACATCTTTCCAAGCAATTTATTACATATTATTCTCTAGGGGAAAAAACACCTTTTGCATAGGAAAAAATAAACAATTACAAATATTAATTCAGAAAGAACTTCCCCTACTCCCCCAGGAAACTAGTGTTTTTTATTTGCTGCCCTTCTGCCCTTTGCATTTGGGTGGGTTCAGAATAGCTCTTTGTTGTAGAGTTATGGAAGTGAATACAAGGTTTGTATCCATTGCTATAGATGAAGATTTTTATTATAGCTAGGGTACATTTACTTTCTGACTTATTTTAGTAGAATAGTTTTACATTTTATTGGTTCAAAATTTATAGGAATTAAAAATTGAGAATAAGAAACTCTTCTAACATAAATATAGAAATGCAGTATTTTTTAAAAAAATATTTTCCATTTAATCCTTGCTTTAGATTTCTGTATACACTTTATTTAGGAAATAAACTTTGTGGAGGACCGATTGCGTTAATGACCCTGATTCCTCTTGTCTATTTCTTTCCACGCCTTTCCCCAGGTCAATTTGCAGTGCTCTTTCTTTCTTTGCAGGCATCCTGCCCAGAGTCATGTGACCCACTGGGGACCAATGGAATATTGACAAATGTGACACGGCAGAGACTTGAAAAAGGCTTGTGTGATTGTGCACCTCACCATGATAAGGACATGCCTGAGCTATCTTGCTGGAGGATAAGCTTGCTGGGGGATATGTGAAGCAGAGCCAAACCTCTTTGGTCCTCCCAGGCAAGGCTATCTACAATTAGCAGAGCTATAGAAGTGACCTGCAGCTGATGTATGCAGAAATCTGCTGTTAACCACAGACATCATAATCACAAGCTAACAATGTCAAAAGAGTATGCTGCCAAGACCTCTGCCATGGTAAATGTCTAAGAACTCAACAAAGAAAAGCTCTGCATTTTTTACAAAATTGACTTATCCTGTCACTGAGCAACTGAAATATTTTCAAGGAAACAATGTAAAAGTACTACATTTTAGAGTTGTTTCGGGCATAATCCTAAATCAAAGACTTCACTGACAATGACTATAATACTATTCTAGAATTAGTTTTCCATTTATTTCAGAAACATGGATGAGCCAGTGTTTCAGTTTTATGCCCCTTCTTGCAATAACAGTTGTGACAAATGTGGGGAAAAATTACATGACAAAAATAAACCTACTGATTTTCTTGACATAATTCATTTTCACTATTTGTAAATACATTTGTTGTATTCATAGAACTACTTTAACAAAGGCCTTGTTGATATTTCAAATATTAGCATTCTTCTTATCACTACATATTAATCAGACTGGCATATATTTTAACTGTTTGCCTCTCTCAAACCTGAATTATTCTGTTAATGACATTCACTTGAGTATAAAGACAGCCTCTTATTAAACTGCTACCTTTTAAAGAAACCAGCAAAATTCTGTATACATTGCAAGTGCTTTATAAATATTCAGTGATGATGGTATTTGCTCATTATATGCTCTTAACCCTCATTTTGATCCCATAATAGCAAAGAACAATTTTATGTGAAAGTATCGGAAATCATTTCATATTTATTTGAACTGTGATATTCTAAGTGGAATGGAAGTTTTTGATATAACTAAAAAATAAAGTCATAGCTCCTTCAAAGATTTCTATTTACATAAGACATGGACACATGTTTTTGCTTTCAAGAGAACCCAATTGACTATCATCTATGACTTTCTATAAATTTCCAAAATTATTTTATCTACTATCATTGGTTGTAAAGTTCTCTATATTTATATTTTGCTGTTTACCAGTGAAACTGGTCTTAATTTAACTCGTTTCAGCTTCAGAGACGTGCCTCTTCTGCTGCCCCGTTTTTAGTGCTGTAGGCTTCGTATTAGAAATCTGATTCAATCTACCTATGCCTACTCATTATTTTAAAATCTTGTCTCTCTTCTCCTTCCTCTTTTTCTCCAACAGAACTTCCTGTGATGATGAAATGTTCTCTGTGCTTTCCAATACGGTAGTTGCAAGCTGCATGTGCCTAATGAACACTTGAAATATAGCTAGTGTGACTGAAGAACTGAATTTTAAATTTTATTTAATTTAAATTCATTTAAATTTAAATTATTTAAGTAGTGACATGTGGATTGGGCAATGCAGTTCTGGATAGAAAAAGCTTAATCTGTGAAACCTGTCCTTATAGGACAACTTCTATCTTTTTGTAGAGGCGTGCCGCTCAGGAGGACATATTCTAGTGTGTATCAATTTGTAGTAGCACAATTGGAAACAGTTACCCTGAAGATTCCTTTGTAAAGGATGTAGGTTAAAGGAAAAAAAAAATGATAGAGAAGATTCAGTGGGAATATGCATGCTACCAATTCACACACACACACATACACACAGACACACACGTACACATGCCTTCACCTTTTTATATGCATAAAGACACATGTATATGTAATTCCAAGTGGATTTGATTTTTGATTCTTTGCTTAAGCTAAATTTGAACAAATTCATTATTGATAAATTTGATGACTACTGATATATTTGCCAAAGCTAATAAACCACTATAGCAGTGAAATTTCAAGAGAGAATGAAAATCCAGTGTTTTCAACAGTTATTTTAAGCTATCTCCTAGTGGCCACGTTAAGTAGCCACGTACGGTGAAATAAACATTCTTGGAGCCTAATCAACAGAGAGCAAATGCATACACCAAAATGAAGATGCCACTTTATCTCTGAGGGAAGTAGGGGGCTGTAGAAAGCAGTTAGATGTGAGGATATCTCACTCCGGCTATTCGTACAATTTCTAAATCACTTTAAAAATAGTTGCTGAATCAGAAGAAGATAGGGGTTATTCTGATTAAGAAATAACCCTGCCTTTCGTTCTTGAGCCCTTACTAGACATAGGTAATCAAACATACTTTCAGGGCTTTTGAATCGTTCAATACTACATACTAGGCATTACTTATCAATAGGAGATAAAACCTATTCAGCTTCTTTGGTATTAGTTTAATTTACTTGGCATAAGGTACCCTTTCTAATCAAGGTTCAGTCCAAACTTTCTCTGTGTGATGTAGTGAAGAAGCAGCTTTTTCCCTTAGAGAGAGTCATTTGTTTTTTTCTTCTGCTTGAGCCCCTTCTTCTCCACATTCCCCACCCCACCCAGACCCCTGACCCTTTCTCATCATGATTAATTTCACATAAGATGTGCTTAGGAGGCATTTTGGAAGATGTCCCAGGCAGCCTCAGGATTGTCTCTGGACCCAAAGTTGAATCATTATTCTTAATCCTCAGTGTCCTTAGACACTATATTGCTTTTATTTGCATAGAGGTTTATGTGCTGCAATGAATTCCTTCCTCCTTGAGAATAAATTGTGGCTCTGTTAAATGACCCTTCCACCCTCTCAACACACTTCTTTTATGTTATGGGATTAAGACCACCTAGATTTTGTGGGCTGATGTCACTAAATCTGCTGAATATGCCTTGGATCATATATTCATCTCTTATCTATGATCCTGTTCACGAGCACAGACTCAGACCTGCCCTTCCAGAAAGATACTTCCTTTTATTGTAGGAGGAAGTAACAAAAACAAATACCCTATGACTTATCTCTTTGCACAATTATTAATGGGGCTTTTCAGACACTATGAGTTAATGTGCTACCTACTGCCACATGGTAGACATGAAGTTCAAAATGATCAACTCAAATTCCCATATGATTATACCAAATAAGTATTGAAAACCACTTAACCCTCTCTCTGAATTCATTTGCCTTGGTTATACAGAAGTACACATTGCTATAAATTTACCTTAGGTAAACGTATGTGGTTAGTGAACCCAGTAAAACAAATTTAAAAAGAAAATCAGTTCATTGAAAAATTTTGGAAACCTCATCTCTGTAGCTTTAAAAGCTACCTATAAACGGAAGGGTTTCAGGCTAGATTTTTTTTAATTTGGTCAAATTTGTTTTATAGATGTACTTTTGTACAGAACAAGTTTAGGTGAATTGGGAGTTAGAGAAAAGGTAAAGAATCTACTCACTCACGAAATCCCTTTATACTAAATGCATGCCAATTATTCATATTTCTTTAAAACTTGGAAGTTTTTTTGTTTTCTGTGTGTCTATACAGCCTTGAATTTTACCAGAGGAAGTGCAACCAGAGCCCCAGAATCCACAGTGATTTACACAAAGACAGAAAGTGTCAGGGGCGTTGTCTATGTCTGAGGCTCTAGGTAGAAGAGATTTCCATGGATCATTCAACAAACATTTAGGTGCGTACTTTTAACCAGAGCCTGAGGTTTTCATGAGACTAAGACAGAAATGGCCCCATGACTCAGGGCCACTCACAATATGATACAGGGGTGATGTGTCCAATGTCAGCAGGGAAAGAATTAGTTTGGATGAATGACTGAAAATGGAAAAAAAGCTAGGTGAAATTCTTTGCCCATCTTGTTTAAGTTTATTTGGCCTCTTCCATTACTCTAAGATATTCCCTTGAGAAGCCAAGCCATTCAGTGTGGGTGGGCATGAAGGTGGAGTGCACATTGTATCATGTTCTGAGTAGGACATCACCTACACAGCCCTTCTGAGACTTGGACTTCTGCTCTCGCCTTTGGAAATTTCATTATGGACTCAGATAGTTCAAAACCTCCTCTGGGTAGTATGACCAACCAGCAGAACTTTCTGGCTTCCCATAGAAGCATATGCAATTTCTTATTGTCTCCATACAGTAAGCAAGCCTGGTCAGACCTACCCAGTGAACATAGATATAGTCCTGCTTTGCTTAGGACTTTCCGGCATTATGTCTGAAAGTCTCATGTCCCTGGACATCCCTCATTGGCAGGCAAACCTAGACAGATGGTTACCTTCAACCTAGGTCTATGTGGCTTCCACTAAACCTAGTTAGCACAAGTTGCTCCTTGAGCTATAGTTAAGTCTTTGCTTTCTTCTTATTTCATAGGCAATGCTACATTTTTGTATGTTCTTACTTTTCCTTTTAATGCACTACTAGCACAGTGATTTTCTTTTCTTCTTTTCCCCAATTCCCTCATCTAGAATTCTTCCAGTGGCTTAAATAGACTCCAGCAAAACATCCATTTGAAAGAGCTTACGTAAGAAACAGGAAGGTAATGCCTTACCATCTCTTGACATTCCTAGGGCAAGACACTTCTGCAGTCGGCAGTGTTGGCAACGGTTTCTGTTGGTTCTGTCAATTAAACAGTTTCTCTGCCTTGGGCAGGAATAAGAGGCATTGTTCTGCTGGCTCCTCCTAAAGAATCCCTTGAGGGAAAAAGAGAAGGAAAGGGAAACAGATTTATAAGAAGGGACACAGATAATATTAACATATGCATTTGCTACATTTTCTACAGTGAACATAACTGAGTTTAATTTTTAAAGCTCTTTGGATACCTCTTCTTGTATGCTTGCAGATATTTCTGCTGGGGAAAATATATGCGATCTGCAGAGATGTGAAGGTATCATTCATTTACCCATTCACTCATTTGTTTGTTCTTTGAATCAATGTTTGTGAAAGACATTTGCAGCTGCGCTGTTCTATTTAGAAATAAACAGAAGTTTCTGCCTCCCAAAGAACAGTGGGGAAGGAGTAACAAAGGAGAGTGTCACTGCTAAACCAAACGTGACAGAACTTGGTGGGGACAATCATACAGGCTTGTGTCGAGTGTTGTGGTGGTAAGGAACTTGCAGTATTGGTAAGCAAAAGCAACACTGAGGAGTATGTGGTATGGTTTTTTTAGTTTCTAAGATGCGTTTTTCCCCACCATAAAATTTTTGAATTTGGCTAGAATGCAGCCGAAAAGTGTTTTTTTTTTTTTTTTTTTTTTTTTTTTTTTTTTTTTTTTTTTTTTTTTTTTTTTTTTTTTTTTTTAAGCTCTTTGAGGTGTCTTGCTCTGTTGTTCATGTTAGAGCGCAGTGGCTATTTACAGGCACGATCATAGTGTACTGCGGCCTCAAACTCCTAGACTCAAGTGATCCTTCTGCCTCAGACTATAGCTGGGATTACAGGCGTGTGCCACCATGAATGGCTATGCAAAGTTGTTTTAAATAATGAACCCCAACTTGGAAAAAAGAAAATATTATATATAAGCTGTTCAACAACAAAAAGTATTAAGTCAAAACTGAATGAATGGTCTCTACTTGGCCTCACGCTATTCAGCGTAAGACGTCTTCATGCAAGTACATTTGGGTTCATCACATACAAAATGAACTACCAGTGACTATACACTGCTTCTCTAAAGAAATCCACAGCTGAGTTAATTTTTAAAAAATTTCTCCTTAGTTGTCTTACAGAAAACTCTGTTGGAGAAAATAAGCATTTTCTCCATAGATAGATAAGTTACCATTCATCCATTCATTGACTCATCAATTTCCCTAATCACTCTTTACTCTTGAATTGCCTAGAGCAAAAAAGGAAAAGTACAAAGCATCATGAACAAAATGATGGTCTACATTACGCTTTCCAAGAGAAATTTTGGGAAAAGATATCCTACAGCATCATCATTTGGAAGGAGGAAGTCTAGAAAAGTTCAGGAAGGGTAGACTCAATGCCTATCTTGCAGAGAAGCCTGGAATAGATCCCCTGACTTCCCTCAAACAGCTTCTGTGTTTCCTCAACTATCTACAGGATGAAGAAGCAGGGCCAGGGCTAGGTGAGCCTAGTGAGGCAATCACCTTGCCCACAACATTTCAAGGTTGTCTAAAATTTTTGTATTTAGAAAACGGTATTTTAACAAAATGTGTTAAAAATCAACATTAATGCAAAAATACCCAATAATTTAAAGAAAGGATCTGTATTAGTGATATTCCTTTTGTCTTGAACTCCAATATGGCTCAGCATGGCATTATTGAAGAGAGCTTGGTCAATGTGTGAAGCATCTCAGAAATGGAGGTATGGCCAAGGATCTCCTTAGAGAGTGAGTCCCAACTGGCTTAGCCATTCAACAATAAGGACTAGTTTCATCCTCATAGATCCATGTGCATTCCTTATTTAATAAACCAGTGATGGCAGAGTGAGACATCTGACTGTCCAGTTTGACTGAATTCATGGAGCACCTTAAAATAGAGATCAAACCTAAGCCCCCAGGGATTGAAATGATGCACTTCATATACCCTGAAAACTGTCAGAAAGTATAACCTCAGCCCATCAGTCTTGATTAAAGATGACTTGAAATTTACATTTTAAGACAGAATTGTGTGGTTTTTATCTTTGGATACTCTAGTACTACTTTGCAAAAGGGTTGACAGGACAGAAAGGACTTTTCTGAAGTCACAGCTACAGCCCTAATTTAAGACCAATTTGACATTAATTACAAAGTGTTTCTTGCTTATCTGTTGCTCATTATTGCAAATGAGGTTTTTGGCATGAAAAAGAGATTGCATTCCAAATTTTTTTGAGTGAATAGGAATTTGAATAAGTGTACAAGCTGAATTGATGTTATTTAGAATGCGTTGTTTATGTTGACTTGAAAACAGTATTATGAAAACTCAGAGGTTAATACTGAATGTGCTGACATTGACATCAAATTCTGAAGAGAAATTTTAAGTTTTCTATTTGCAGAAAAAATGTAACATATTTACAAATGTGGGGCTTTCCATGAATTAAAACATTAGAGTATGCTTCATAATAACAGCATAATTACTTTGATTGTGGATTCTTCTTTTAAATAGAAAGGATAACATTTGTTCTTGACCGTTGGCCTATTGGGTTATATTTGCGCATTAGTGAAATTTTTTGTAAATTACTGTTTAAAATATTTTGCTTTTTAACTTGAACATATCCCCATATTTTGAAATCACACATTTTTCAAATAGAGCTTATACAATCAAATGCCAAGCATCTCCATTTTGACATTGATCTAAAAATCAGTTTCAGTAGATATTACAAACTAGAGTTCTCAAGATTGCATAGCAAGCCAATAGAACAATGGAAATACTTTCAAGGAAGAGGATTATGACTTCATAATTATTATTGTTTATGAAGAAAACTATTTGTCTATCTGCCTAGAGGATGTAATAACTTAAGAAGGGTAACGAATTGTTGACATAATTTTGCTTATTGTTTCTTCTCAATGAGCTTAAAAATTGCATTAGAGTGAATAACATGCAATTCTTAATTATAGGTCTGCAGAGGAGCAGAATGCAAAGAGCATCTCATGATATTCACAAACAGATTATTACTAATCACTAAAGTACAGCAGTGTGTTGACAGGTTAGTATGTTAGTTACTACTACGCTCCCTCTCCTTCCCTCTCCCTTTTTATTCTTATTTCTTTTCTTTTCTTTTCTTTGTCTGGTTTTAATTCTAGGACTCATACATTTTTAGACTATTATGAAGACATTGTCAATTTTTCACACAGTACCAGTATTTGACAGTTACAGTATGTTTTGCCTTCTTTATATTTGAAAGCCTGTTGAGATTAAGATTAAATCTTAGACTCTGTGACGATACTACATCTCCCTCAGTTTACTGGCCTTAAAAGAATAATTCACTTTGCTTGTATCTTTGATCAAAATTATAATTGCTCTGGCCAACAACTGTACCGGCATATTACCTTTCCCTCCTAGACTGTGGCTGCATTTTATTTGTTCTGGTTACACATGGTCCTTTAACGTTAGCTGTAGAACTGTTTTGATTTCCCCTGGCTATTGTGTCTCTCACACTCACTTTCTTTCCTTTTAAGGATTCATTATTAAAACTTACTGTTAAATTTCAAAGTTTTCTCATTTTAGATTAGGCCTACATTTACTGCTATTCCTCTAGCTTTTTATTTAGGAAACCAACTTGCTAACAGGAATTAGTTTGCCACGGGAAAAATGGGTGGAATCTGTCTGTTAGGGGAACACTGGACTGAGACTGAAAAACTCTGTGTTTTTGGCCATGCTCTGTTCTTCACTGTCTGAATCAGTGATGTTGATCAAATGACATGATCTTGTTTATACCTCAGGACCTCATTGGAAAATGAAGAGGTGGGGGCAGGTGAATTTTAGTCGATTTAGAGATAATCTTGTCGGCTTCTAACATACCATGCTTCTAGTTTTCTTTCTTTTTTTTTTTCCTGGAATGTGAGAATAAAGGATGGCCATATGCATATTGCAGCTGTTACCTTGACTTCCTCTTTCTCAAGCAGATAGTTAAATATATATCTATTAGTTTATAATCTTTATTTTAACCGTTAGTTTTTAAATGTAGTAATAAGTGCCTTGACATTTACTGGAGACAATACTGCTAAAACAGCAAAATTCAGTATTTATAACTCTGGAAATGTGAATAATTCAAGGTTTTAAATACGTATCCATTTTTAAGGAGCTGCTGACCAGTTAGACAATAACAAAAAGGTAAAAGGCAAAGAAACAGAAAATCAACCCTCCCACCCACCACACGAGAATTCCTGAATGTCAGCAGCAGGGAGAAGAATCCTTTAGCAAGCCTTCTTTAAAAAGGTGTCACCATGTCTTGTGAGGTATACAGATGCCTGAGGCAAATACAGAAGCGTGCAGTATGAAAGTCCCATACCTTGCAGCCTTCACATGTGATGACTCCGTAGTGGATCCCAGAGGACTTATCGCCACAAATTTTGCATGGTATCACTTCGATTTGTGCTGAAAGGAGAAAATAGACATTTTGAGCGTACAAAAATTTTCTTTCTCCCTTCACTCTTCCTATCTCTTTTCCATCTATCTCTGCAGTGATGTTTGTGTTTCAAATTACTGGGCATGTGGGTGGTGGTGTGGGAGTCATGCATTATTATTTCAGTGGGTGTCCTAAGCTTCTTCTAAGTGAAAGTACATTTATCTGCCATTGTTGGCTTCGTTTTTCTCAAACTAAAAAAATGTAGCCAGAACCCAGTTTTCCAAAGTCTTGCAGTCACTGTTTTCTCCTTTTTGAACTTGACCTTAAAATAGTATGACTCAAAAAGCCCTTGAACCTACAGATTTTCTTTTCTTGTTTTGCACTTGAAACATTAAGTTCCTGAGAGCTTTCACATGGCTTTATCTCCGTGATATTTAAAATAAATACATAAATTAAAGCAAAACTCTGGGAGGGGGCAGTGCGTGGTAGCTGTATAAATTGTGTGGCTGGATGTTTACTTACAAAAATGCCAATAGTAAATCAGTCCAATATTTACTGAGCATGCTCTGTATGTTCTCTAAGATAATAAAGGCTGTTGATGGAGGATAAGATGTGCTAATGATACTAATAATCTAATTAATAAAATAAAATTAATGCACGGAGAAATCAAGATAAATTATGAGGGTACTAAATATGAATTTAATACAAACTGAAATGAAAGTAACTCACCTTAGAGAGGTGTGTTTGGCAGGCTACCCATAGACAAGCAGAAGACCAACTAAAGATCATTCCTAACTTGGGTGTTAGGTGATGAAAACATGGCTTATTACATCAGTGGCAGGATAAATGGAGAGGAAGATGTAAACAGAAAGATGGTTCAAAGGTAGAAGCTAGATTATAAGATTTTAAAAAGGGAACAGACATGAAATGAAGAGTCAAAGGTGACTTCTAGTTTCCTAGCCAAGAGGCTGAGAGAGAGAAGGTAGTAGGTTTGACAAAAATGGGGTTGTTGGTAAGGCAGTTACTTTGGCGGAATATGGTGGGGCATGGGATTTCCATTTTCTATGTGTGCAATTTGTTGTAATGTCCTGTATGTATATAGAACCTCTTGGCAAGATGACTTTAGATAATCAGCACACAGGTTATGGACGAATCCATGAGATAAAATTTATTTAGAATGTAGTGATTCCTATGTCTGATAGTATTCTAAGAGTTGTTAAAATTATACACACTAGGAAGATCTGCTATTTCCTCTTCCAATTTAAAATAATTATGCAAAATATACTTCAAAATGCTTTGTATATCAATCTGCCACTTGGATGCTTTTCTACAGTTTCTCACTCTTGAATATACAAAACAAATAAATGCAAGACAGTGCCCTCTTTTTCTTATTATTTTACTTTTTTTTTTTTTTTTAAAGACAATACTTAGCTTTAGGGTAGTACATTGTTTTAAAAAGTTAATATTTCATAGAAATTTCAAATCATCTTTGTAAGCAAAAAAATCCTCAGTGTTGTGCCTACTTTTCATGTGAGAAAAAATTGAAGATCCAGGTTGTTAAATTCTGGTTTTGAGTTGATTTGGGAAGTGACAACCAGAAATTACCTAAATATCCTGATGCTTCATTCAGTAACCATTATTGGACTCCCACACAGACAGAATAAGATTACATTTTTAAATTCCTTTATTACTCCAATAGCTCCAACTAAAGAGCTAATGACAAAAAACATCAGAAGAGACAAAGTCATCTAAAATACTTATGAGACTAAGTTCTATTCATTTCTTTTTATTTTACCTTCTAGATTACGTGAACTAGTATTTGTTTTTAAGGTTTTGTGATAGGAGAAAAATAATTGGATGTTATTCTGTTCTGTCCTTCTGGACTCCAGTCCTTAGTCTGTTAATGATTGGAGCCATGGCCAAGATAAAATCTCTGATCTTTTGTTTTCTGGTTTACAAAGCTTAACCGATAAACTTCATAGATTTGTGAGGATCAAGTAGATATTTTACGTAGAAGCACTTTGTAAAGAGCTAGGAAATGTTATCCTTCACCACCATCATCATCATGACATCAATCATTATGGTTAATTGGTTTTCTAAAACTTTTGGATACAAAATATGACAAGCCACATTATTATTACTTTATCAAAGATCTTTTCATTTAAAAATAATCTAATGACACTGCAAATCATTGTACTATGGGTTTTTTTTTTTTTTTTTTAGCAGTAACCTTTCAAATGTTGGATTGTTTATAATGATTACAAAATTGATTGAAAATCTCAGGTGTCCATTGTATAGTTTTTAGCTTATATGATATTAAGTCAGAGGGTCTCTTTGCATAAATTACTCCCCAGGGAGTAGCTTACACGTGGGGAGAATCTGCTTCAATAAGTTCTTAATTATAAAATGATCTAACTTTAAAGGAAATGAAAATAGAGGTAATTTGCCCCCTGGGGTGTGACAAGATGTTTTTGAAAGCCACAGAGGTTGTCTTACACAACTTTGGAAATACAAATGAGATAAGGAACATTCGATAGAGCATCTGCATATTTATACATATTTATAAACCTGGCTCAACATGTAATCCTGAAGAACTATAAACATCTTAACAGTATTTTTACAGAGAAATAAGTCACTTAAAATGGTATACGTGTATAGTTGTGGGTGGAAAGAGGTTATCGGTTTGGAAATCTGTTACCATTTTAACTTATTTTGATAGAATAAATCATCAGATTTATTCTAGGTAAAGGTAAATTTAAGTCATTTAAAGTACTAATTCTTTTTATTTTCTTTCATGTAAGGAAATAAACTGCTTCTGAGCCACAGCTTTATGGTTTATACTATTTTTTTCTTTCTTTCTTTTCTTTTTTTTTTTTGAGACGCAGTCTCGCTCTGTTGCCAGGCTAGAGTGCAGTGGTGCAAACTTGGCTCACTGCAACTTCCACCTCCTGGGTTCAAGCAATTCTCCTGCCTCAGCCTCCCGAGTAGCTGGGACTACAGGCACTTGCCACCACCCCCAGCTAATTTTTGTATTTTTAGTAGAGACAGGGTTTCACCATGTTGGCCAGGCTGGTCTCTGTCTCCTGACCTTGTGCTCTGCCCACCATGGCCTCCCAAAGTGCTGGGATTACAGGTGTGAGTGACCACACCCGGCCTATATTATGTATTTTATAAAGTACATCTTCCAGACAGCATTTCACACACTGATTAGAACAACAAATCCTGTTATTGCTCCAATGTCTGCCATTTCTAAATATCTTGCCATTATAATAGGCATAGCCTCTTGTGGAATTGTCTTGCAGTGAATACAGATCTAGTGACATGCTACTGACTGTGGTTTCCAACTGAACATCTTGGGAGGATTTGATTGTTTGGACCTCACCAGCTGATACAATGAAGGTAATAGAAGGTAACTGAGGAAGAGTTTGACTTTTGTACTTTTGCTTGACTCGTGGATTTATTCAACAATAGTATTCTCCAAGAGACAAACTTGGAGGAATTGAAATGTCCTAAGAGATGCCTCGAGTGAAGTTTATTCATTTTTCATTTTTTCAATTTCTTATATATTGATTTCACTTATATTTTTCTATTGGTAATCCTTTGTGGAGACTATAGTTAAAATTTTATGTGTTAATGCTTTTGTTTATAAAATTAATGCTATGTAGTTTTATCTTTTTTGAAACAATATTCTGACAGCGTCAAAGAGTGTCATGAAAAATTTAAAATAATTTGCTGCTTTACTTTATATTAGAACAATTGATGAAGTACAATTAGTTTACTATCTTGTAATCTGGCAGGCAGATACTATTCAACAATTATGGAATAATCAAAATTTGTCTTCCTCTTTGAAGATAGTGATTCTCTCCCCGGAATCCCCCTGAAAACCCCTTCCTTGCTTAGAGTTCCTTGCCGTAACTTTGCATAAAACTACCATGTTTTCACTTCTTCCTGCGTATGGAAACACACACATTTTTAGTTCTGCCCCCTCAGGACCTCTGCTAGTAACAGCAGGTGTTAAGATTATATAAATGAATCCAGGCTAATGAGTTAACTAGAAAATGCACCACTTTGATGCAACAAAATACCTTAATTCTTAAAGGCATCCATTAAGAATAGTAGTAATAATATAACTTTCAGGTACTTTCTGGTTGGAGGAAACATTTTTAATGTGTTTGCTCTTATGGCTCTCAATTTTCACCATGCCGACTCTTACAGTTCAAACTTGGCCATTTCTATGTTCTGGGCATTTTAAATCCATTGGAGACAGGGACAAGGTCATACTTTGTTTTCTATGGTGTCTAAAGGAGAACTTTTATAACTCCTTAAAGCAGTGGTTCTAAATATTTCATTTATTTCAGTACAATCACAAGATGTGATATACTCCATATAAAGGAGGCAATAGGCAATATGAATTTTTTTTTGACAGGGTCTCACTTTGTCATCTAGGCTGGAGTGCAGTATGATCATAGCTCACTGCAGCTTCAAACCCCCAGACTCAGGAGATCCTTTGGTCTCAGCCTCCTGAGTATCTGGGAACCTTATAGGTGTGTACCACCATGCCTGGATAATTTTTACATTTTTTGTAGGGACAGACTCTTGCTATGTTGTCCGGGCTGGTCTCTAACTTCTGGCCCCAAGTGATCCACTTGCCTTGTCCTACCAAAGTGCTGGAATTGCAGGTGTGAGCCACCATGCTGGGTCCAACTTTTCATATTTGGGGTAAAGAGAATAAATCAGAGATTGTGGGGGGATATATATTTTGGAAAAGGCCCCCAAGTGATTCTTGTATATGATGAGGCTCCCATTGGGAATTAAATGAGTTAAGTTATTAGCTAGAAATTTTCTCTACCATGCAAATCACCTGTGAAGGTGGACAAACCCAGGGACAGGCCAGATCTGAACATTTTAAAGAGTCACCAGTAATTCTATGTTTTCTCACTTTTCGTTTGGGGCTATACTTGTAGCATCTTTGTTTTCTGCGCTCTCTCTCTCTCTCTTTCTCTCTCTCTCTCTTTCTCTCTCTCTCTCT